CAAAAGAGCTTATATTACATATTTATGATATATATGATAAGGACATGTGCTTGGATTGACAAATATACATTTAATTTGGATTTTAAGGCATTTTGAGCTCTGCTACCAAAATGTCCATGTGTCCAATAACTCACGTTTTGATCGGAAATTACCTGTCCTGTCCCCAACTAAACACGTTTTTATTGTAAATTACCAGTCCCCAGTTACTCACTCTGTTTATGGTAAGTTGCAAGTCCTTAGCTACACACGTTTTTTATGCAGAATACCAGTCCCTCAGCTAAACACGTTTTATGGTAAATTTTCTGTCCCCAACTACTCACTCTTTTTATGGCAAGTTAACAGTCCGAAGGTACACACGTTTTTATATCAAATTACCAGTCCCTCAGCTAATCACGTTTCTATGGCAACTTACCTATCCCCAGCTACTTACACTCTTTATGGCCTATTACCAGTCCGCAGCTACACATGTGTATGGCAAATAACCAGTTTCTCAGCTACACAAGTTTTTATGGTAAATTGCCAGTCCGTAGCTATACACGTTTTTATGGCAAAAACCAGTCCCTCAGCTACTCACTCTGTTTATGGCAAATTACCAGTCCCTCAGATACACACGTTTCTATGGCAAATTACCTATCCCAAGCTACTCACACTCTTTATGGCCTATTACAAGTCCGCAGCTACACATGTGTATGTCAAATTACCAGTCCCTCAGCTACACACGTTTTTATTTGTTTGGGTCGTCAGACCAAACAAATAATAGTAGCGAAATTTCAGAGTCTAATGTTGTTAATTGCAAATGCCGAAAGTAGTCCACTTTTTTGAAGCGGTTACTTCCCTTTTGTATGTACACTAAAGCCGAAAAATTCAGGGGAGATCACTGCGTAAAGATGGTCAAAGACAGGCGCATCAATTTTCAAGCAAAGTATTTCCCGAATGGTCGAAGATTTCTAATATTGTTTTATTGTATTTTCTGATCGAAAATAACTAAATACAAAGCGGACATTCAATCTCTGACACAGAAGTTTACGACAAACCTAACAACAAGTAGTTCTCAAAGCAGCTTAAAACTAGCGATTTAAAAGAAAGAAATATTTTATTTTGTTACAAGTATCCAACAAATTACAACGCATTTAAAGTTAAACAATAGCGTTGGCTTATAGAATTGTCAATAAATGCACAATCACAAATAACGCGGATGAATATGATTTTATCAATGAAAATACTATTTATTACCGAATACTACACAAACCGAGTAGTGGAATATATAGATTCTACATGTCGGACTGTTTGGGCGAGAGGATTTTCGCTAAAATATTTACTTCAATTTTAAACAACAGGTTTACCCTGAACAAAATACCTTGAAATTATTACAAACCCGAAATGCAATAGAAGTTCTAAATTTAGAATGACTTGATATTATTCAGACTTTCTGTGTATAACTTCTCCGTGGTACAGTGGTAACGCGCTCGCTTAGTGAGTGAGACGTTTCGAGTTCGAATCCCAGTCGAGAAACATTTTTTTTTTGTTAAATTCTTTTTTAAGTGTTTTTGTTAAGGAAGTAGCCATGATATGCAAGGATAAAGTGTGACTGTCGTAAAAAATGAACATAAATGATTTTTTGATGCAACTCTAGTTATGCAGAATTCCGTATGTATCAAACTCTGGTGCCTTGCAAAATGAATTATAATACATAAAAATAAACCTATACAGGAAAATGCATACAGATATACAGTACGATTTAGATTGCAAAGATCAGAAAATACCACAGAACTTGCAGCCCTTTGATTCTTTATAAATATATAAATGCTTATAGTAAGCTCCAGGATTATTTACATCTGTGTTAAACAACAGTTAAAGTCGTTACAAGCCCTAATTTAGAATAATATGGTTTTCTTCAGCCCGTTCACATATAAATTCACCGTGGCTGAAGGGTTTTCGGGCTCGCTTAGGAAGCGAGAGGTCTGGAGTTCAAATCCCAGTAAAGGTAACTCATTTTTTTCAAATTGTTAAAGTCAAATAAACATTGGATTGAATATCAGTGTTGCAATTAGTCTTATAGCCAATTTACTACAATAAAAACGCTGGAAAGCATTGGTGGCACTATACATATAATCTCACAACCTGCACCTTTCTTACATTCTGAGACCCAAACAAATTCAGCGCCTTCTGTGCTTTGATTATGGTAAATTGTCAGTGCATAGCTACACACGTTTTTATGGCAAATTACATATCCCCAACTACTCACATTCTTTATGGCCTATTACCAGTCCGCAGCTACACTTGTGTATGGCAAATTACCAGTTTCTCAGCTACACATTTTTAATGGTAAATTGCCAGTCCGTAGCTGCTACTCACGTTTTTATGGCAAATTACCAGTCCCAAGCTACTCACTCTGTTTTTGGTAATTGGAAGTGCCGAACTTCACACGTTTTTATAGCAAATAACCAGTCCCTCAGCTACTCACTCTTTTTTGCAAATTACCAGTCCCCAACTACACACGATTTATGGAAAATTACCAGTCCCTCAGCTAGCTAGCACGTTTGTAGTCTATGCTTAATGAGGTCCCATCTGTCCGTTAAGGCACTAAATGCAGCTTTCGCCGTCGGATACGGACCACGGCAATGTCATTCTTAAAGATAAATTTTGAAGCAGAATAACCAGTTATTCGGAACGACGGTGCTGACAACATGATTTGCCATTCTTTACACTTGGCCGTTGCTTTATAAATTTATGTGAAGAAAGGCTTCTAACGCATGTTCAAACACGGTATACCATACATGCACTACATAATACAGCAGAAAAATAAAAGCAACTTACAATTATAAAATATACATATATAAACTCATAAAACCTTACTCAAACTTTTTTCCAGGCATCAAGCCCCTTTTTCTAAGTCATGAATACATTAAAAGGAAGAAAAAAAACAAACTCTCTAATATAAAATTTCATAACGCCATGTTTTATCCTGTAAAATGAAAGGCATTCATTTCTTTGCATCAGAAAAAAACAACATATTCATTCTAGAAGTGGGGGCCTAAAGACTTTGGCAACTTTATTGTCTTAGAATCCTGTGCAGGAACAGCATCTTCTAGCACGCAGTAAATTTATTTCACCTTTCATATATATATAATTATGTGATTACGTAAAGTAAGGGATGAAAGGGAGATATTTAACTATTAACTTTCTCTCCTACTTTGAATAACACCCTTTTGTATAGTTCTGTTTTAACTAATGTTTATTTTAGACTTTGACTAAAAATAAGTAAACATTTTGCGCCAGAGTCTAAGCAGACAAGTACCATTTGAGTTCATAATATACTCATAAAATGAAATATTGATGGAATAAAAGGCGTATTTTCACTTGTCGTATTTTCATTGTAAATAAACATTTACTTTGCAATGCCGTGAAACATATTTTCTGTTGTTTTTTTCTTCTTGTGTCTTGCTGGACAACTTATTCCTTAATTCAATAAATACAAAAAATCAAAGGGGAAGTCTTTATACTCGTAAAGTCTAAAAAGAAAAGTTTATAATGAACAGAAAAAAAACCAAGTTTAATACGGGATGTAGTTTCAAAAATTATCATTAAATTAAAATTTCTATGTCATAAATTATTAATTTATATGTTTGTATATGCTTACAGTGTTAACAGGACTAACATGATCTTATTTTCTGGTTAACTTTAATTTGCTCTTGGTATATTTAACATATGTGCACTCCACATACATATAATATATGCATACCTAATACGGATATCATGTAATAGAGCAGTACAATAATTATTATACATCGGAGATATAATTAAAATGATTTATGATGGATATTTGTTAAAACTGGTATTAAACTCTTACCAAATTATGTTACTCAAAGTTTGATAACATAATTTCTAATTAATAGCTTAAGAGAGTTCGACATTCAACGATGGTTTAAATGTGTCAAGGAAGGACAAGCAATGGAGCGATTGCTAACATCTGGATGCCTGTTAAATAATATGTGTGTCGGGTAAATCTCGATTTTTTTTATTTTGTGAAACATTTCGTAAAACGTGACATCTTTTGCTGTCAAGCACCTAATGTTGAGATTGCTGACTCCCGAACTCTGTTTTCCTATTTTCCTCGACTTTTCAGTCAACTGCATCTCTAAGTAGATTTCCCCCTTTTCTTACGGAGGTGTGTGTGTGTTTGCGTTTGTTTACCCTCGCGATCGAAAGAGACCATATGGGTAGAAGGTAGGTGTAGATCATATATATATATTCCATGGGAGATTTTTGGTCGGTTTGTGCAAAATTGAATTAAGTGCAAACTTCTATTTCCTTCAATGTACAACACGTATCATTGAATAAGGACCAACAATATGCATATTGCACGTGCAATATTTTTGTGTGTGAAATATTTGAACTTTTGGCGCCAGGAACTTAACAATTGCACATTTTTAAGTCCCATTTCTTATACCGGTTCCAATGTTTTGTAACATACGCATTCGTTTAAATGTATTTAGTTTTAAATATATTCATAGTTCTTTCTCTATAATTTTTTAATAAACATTATGCAAATTGTTTTTGAATGTAGCACGTGACCGTCAAATTATATTCCCTGTATTGAAATATTTCGGTGTCCTATTTTAACTGTTTTGGATAGTTAAGTGTGTTAAATTCATTCCATTTACTGTCAATGTAAAAATGTTTAATTTTATCCGGATGATATCAGTGCAGAACATTGTACACATTTTGCAAAAGCGAATCTTGCAGACATTTCATTACAAGATGAAGTCACATTTTGCCTGAGTTATTATAATTTTGAACAATTGGAAACATAACATACTCGTGAATGTATGAGGCACTACTTAAAGTCAGGTAACATTTGCAATCGGCAACGTAACTACGGAATAAGTGAACCTTACAGTGATAAGACTATGCGTGGTCTCATCAGCTATCGCAAGAAAAATTTCTTTAAAGTTAACATAACAAAATGCTACAACTGTGATGATATCTTCTTTCCCATCTTAACGGAATTTCATTTCTACTTTTTTCAAACTGTATTCTTTTTTCTTCCAATGATGCCAGGTAATTCCAGTACTATCTATTTTGCCAGGCTGGTTATAATACCGTCCATTGAGATTGGAATAGTTGCAACTATTATACCACCACGCACCATGAAGAATCATTGCACAATTGACCGTCGACCATGTATCCTGATCTCTATCATACGTTGAGAACATTATTCCATTATGATATTTAAGAGAATCTCGAGCAGTTCCACTGTATCCACTCACCTCCAGTTTGTAATTGTTTTCTTCCGGATATATCTTGAACTTACTGTACTTAGCATATGCACTGTTTCCCTCAAAATCTTCAATCTCTATTCGAAGTTCGTGTTCTCCATCTGATGTCAGTAGACTCAAATGATCATTACCGAGCCAGAACTCATTGTTTAGATCACCAAAGCCGTTTTTATATTCAGTCCATTTTCGAAAAAAAATCTGTTTCTCCATTCAGTCTCCTCTGAAATACTACCCAGCCTCCACCGGTTGTAGTTTGGTCACAGTAAACTTCAAAACCTTGTCGTAATTTGTTTACTGCACTGACTGGAATATAAGTGGAATATTCCTCTTTGACTTGTTGTTTTGATCATTATCCAGGTTGTTGCTATACTATCAAGTACTGAAAATAATAAAGCGTGTTGTCTTAAATTCAAAAACCTTGATTAAATCAATATATACATGTATTTTAAGTCTATATTAAGACAAAACACCTTAAAAGCGTGGTATTATTATATATTCTTTTGTTCATGTGCACAAGTAAAACACAACGGTGAGAAGGGCAGATTGAAAAGTTGTTATATTTGACTGAACAAAAATCCCTAATAATTTTTATGTCCTATTTACAATTTATAAATACACAATAATGACACAAAAACAGATAAGTAAATTTTAATCCATGTAAATTGCAACTCCAGATGAAAGTAATAAAACAGATGTATTCTTAAAATATGAAATGAAGTTTTAAGTCAACTTTGTGTTTTCCATGAATAAGCAAAAAAGAAAACATACTTTACTAGAAAATGAAATAATTAAATTGTTTTCTTTATTTTCTTAGTAAAAAACTTTAGAATCTTGCTCTTTAAACATGTAACTAGATTAAAAAAGTTATATGTTATAGTGATTGATAAAACAGCCTTTTCATCCAGCATGATATGATTTTTCAACTTATTCACACACAAAGTGCTGAAATTTAAGAATTATAGGCATTTCCTAACATCACATGTATTAATAAAGTACATCAGATTCCTAGCTAACTACTATATCAACCATTTAATTCATAACGATGATAGTTTTAAAAACAATTTTAAAAACTCCCTGCATAGAAAATAATATTAAATTTTTGAAGAGAGTAATCTCAATGGTTTTGAATTATTCCCAAGTATAATAAAATCTTTTGTGATGCATGTTTACAAATATGTCTTGATGCAGTCCTTTGTATTGGTGTTAAGAGATATCTTATTAATATGACAATACTATTTTGACATTCTACACATACATACCGTAGATAATTTTCTATTGGCTGAAGTTGAAAATGGTGCCTTGAACAATCAACAAAGGCATTAATTATGTTTCTTCCAAAATGAGTGTATTTCTTGAAAACTTACATATACACCAAGAAGAATATACATATGATATTCCATTCATCAGTATCAAAAATATTACCTCATGTTTTATAGTTTGTTTAATTCCACAACTGAAATAAAAAAAAAATATAACGAATTTTAAATCATGACCAAATAAATGCTGTGTCCATTTAAAACAAAATCTACACAAAACTTTTGTTTTGCGCCCATTTTTATTACACTTAGAGCACAATTATTAAATAAATTTATGTGAACATGAAATTAATTTGGAATATGGCGCTACTCTATGTATATAGTACCGGTGCCCGGTTTGCATGCAGTTGCCAATACGATTTGAGGGTTGCAGATGTAGATAAAAATGGCTACTGAGCTACCTTGTGTTTTTTAGTATCATCGGAAAAAATGACGTTTTTAGAATCGAGACATCTACGTGAAACCATCGGTACATTTGAAAATGTCTTATTTATTATGAACATTTCCTTTTTTAATGTCGTAATAATTAGCAACTCCAACGCAAATAAATTTGTCAATTATGTCATAAAAATGATATAGAGTCAATCTTAATTTCCTTCAAATTTGAGCTCAGGAATGATTCCTTAAAGTATATGATTATTTGATGTGGTAATATTTTTATATGTCAAACGCAAGGAGTTGAAAATGACTTAAATTCAAGAAAAATATCATATGTAGGTTTTCTCTCCGTTATCAATATTTCTGATTCACAATATCTTCGTCTTAAAGAAAAGATATTAAAAGTCAGAAAGTACTAGTAATACCAACAATAACCAATTTGTTTCATATACTTAACTCGAGCTTGTGTCACATCTGATCTCTTCAAGCAACATAAGAGGTCATGGATCTTGTAGGTTATGAATGCAGTTAGCTAGGAGCATCCGAGTCACAAGAGGTCTGTCATGTCGATCACAAACTTTGTGACTCTGCCAATGCAGTACATGAGTGCATAATGGTGGCATATGGGTTAACATAACGTTGCAAGTAAGTCCTAAAAATATGAATGTGCACTAGATTACATATTTTATCGCATGGGATAAATAATGTTTGGTTTTCGTTAGTACATTGAAAGATAATTATTTGGCGTATAAACGTTAAGATGACGTCACGGTGACACCATATCACCGTCCTTTAGTGAATAAGACAAAGCTGGTTATTTTAAGTGCAGTTTTAAGTGCATGTAGATAACCATTTTATATTTTCTCTCGCGTTATATGCGCGTGTCCAACTCAGTTGCAAAAGAAAGTTTGCACTTGGTTACTTGGATATTCTTTGTACAAACAAAGACAAAAATAGTAGCAAATTTGGTATCAAAATTTGCAGACATGTATTGACCATACAATAGTTTAATTTATAATGAAATTTGATAATAAAAATATTATCAGAAATTTAGTTACGTGTAAAAAAGGAATGGTGAAAAGTTGCAAATTGGGATAATTTAATGTTATAACTCGTTACGTACGAAGCCATAAATTTGTATTTATTGTGTTTATCTCTCGGATGAACAAAAGTGATTGGGACTTCATGCACCTGACGCAACGCCATATGAACATAGATTCTAATGATGTTCTTTTTAAACATTCAAATATCCAAAATGCAAAAGACGTATTTACAAAAAGGCACAAAGTTTTGATAATAATCAAATTTCATTTAAAATAAAACCATCGTATAGGCAATATATTTCTGCACATTTTAATACTCATTATGCCAATATTTTTCTTACATAACTATACAAAATTTCCCTGTAACGAAGTGCAAACTTTCCTTTGCATCAAGGTATATTACGAAAAAAATTAAGTTTACTGCAATATAACAAGTAAGTGGGATACATTTAGTATTGACCAACAATCAATTTAACATCGTGTTTTTATTGTGTTTTTAAATAAAACCTATTTTCTAATATAAATATGTAATATTGCTTTTTTATGTTTTGAAAAACGTAAATTTGTAGTGTATCTTAGTATGTAATGGTAATGTACTCAAAGTGTCAGCACCTAATTCGTAAAGCATAAAACATAAAGTTTAAAGAATTAATATAGAAGTGCCATACTGTACACTTGTCACATAGTTTACTGCATTTAAAAATTGTTATTTTTGTACAGATTAAATGGGACGTTATGTGTACCTTTGATGTAATTTCATTAGCAATGAGACATATGTATTTCGTCTGACAACAGACTGCTGAGTACTTTTGTAAATTATGGCATACTTCATTGAATAGAATTAATTTTGTAAATGACCTACTTTTATGAATTGGATGTATTCAGAGAGCAAGAAAAATGAACAACTGTTTTAAGAATCATCTGCATGCCTGTAACTCTCTTCAAAAAGTTCCAGCTCAGTTCTCCTTTGAGTGGTTGTTGAACAAGTGCTCAACAAATCTGACATTGCTGGAGGAGGACATGTACATTGGTGCAAATTACGTTATGGCTATAACATATTTAATGGCCTGCTGACCTGTACAGGTATGTATATGGTGTCGGTAAATAATCTGTAAAGCATTCCTCTGTTGAGCTTCTGGAAAATATAGAAAAAGACCATGCGCAAAATTTCAGCATGAACTTGATAAATATGCACATGCGCCTATTGACATTGTTTTCAATGCCGAATTTTGAAAGAACTTCGCAAGGAAATCGATTTTAGGAGTATTTATTTAAAGCTTCTTCCGAAAATTTCTATATTCTTATTTTATATTTTAGTCGTCTGCTTCCATATTTTAACTCTATGATTTGCGCTGTGACGTCATTGTTTCGTCAGTATTTAGCATAAGAAAACCGTTCGACCCCCTGCACACAATGAACATTATTCACCGAGTAATACTCACATCACGGACGTTTTTCATCAATTACAACTCACATGAACTCACGTAATGAACATTATTCGCCGACGACTACTCACAAAAAGGGTACTACTCACATCACGAACAATACTCGCCTCATGACATAAATAAATAACTTCATTATCAAAAATATTGTGAAAAAGCTAATTAGTTCGTAAATATTAAATAGAATTTCTTTTTGTTTTAATTATTCAAGTAATGAAAAGTTTCTAATATTTATATCTTGGTCGTCAATTGTCCGCAGTTTGACGGAAACAACCGAACAGTTTGAATTGCTGAATAAGATATTAGAAAATAGATATGCAAACGTTTTTTTTTCACTGCGGAAACCATTACTTTGATAAACTTACAAAAAAAAAACAATATATTTGTGGAATGACACTTTTACAGCCTTATCACGATATATAGAATTATTTCCAATCGAAAATCATTCTTTCGGGAAACATCCTTTATTTTATAACAATAACATATTAATTGGTTCAAAAAGCGTATATTTCAAATCGTGGCTCGATGCTGGTGTTTATAACAAAGAACACCTAGTAGCACCTGATGGAAAGTTTTTATCTTATAATGAATTTATTAATACAAATAGTATTTGTATTTGTATTTTGTATAATGAATTTATTACAATGATACAATGTCCAATCTAATATCTTAATTTTAAACGGTATGATTATATCAGTAAAGCAATTTTTAAATAAATATAATATAATCTATAACATCCCACAGAAAAGCATTGGCCCAGACATACCGCTATACTTTAAAGATATTATATCAGAAATAAATGGAGCAAAACCTTTCTATAATATATTAAATAAAAACAAATCAAAGCCCACAAATATCGAAAAATGGACAAACAACTTGAATTTAGCTTTTAGTGAAAACGAATGGAAAATAATATTCGAAATACCTTTTAGAATTACAAAATGTGCCAAGTTGCAATGGTTCCAAACACTAATTTTACACAGAATTATTGGAACCAATCATCTTTTATGCAAAATTAAGTATAAAGAAAGTCCTTTCTGTTCTTTTTGTAGTAATGATGTTGAAAGCATTTAGCATCTAGTTTGGCTGTGTCCCATTGTCAAAAAATTTATAAATGAATTTCTTAAAATAAATGAAGCACCTTTTTTTTTATTTTTGGGTATAAAAGAAATGATGCTTGGCTATAATGCAAAGGATGATCTATCTAACGCAAAAAAAACTTATTTTTTACTATACTTTAAAATGTATGTTCATCAGTGTAAAATGCTTGATCTTTCTTTTTCAATGATTGCAGCCAAAAATTTTATAACACAAAAGCTCAATCCTGATAAAGAGCTAGCAATCATAAATAATATATTATCAAAGTTTGATAATGTTTGGATTCTTTTTAGAAAATTTATGTCTTTGTTTAAAAAAAAGAAAAATGTTAGCTGAGAAAATCTTATTTCTACACTGAAAAGTATTGTTTTGAATTTAAGGAAATAATTTACGCCAAAATAGCATGCATTAGATTTTATATAATGTTGATGCTTTTGATACTATTTAAAAAAAATACGATTATGAGTGCGAGTGTGAATGCATGTGTCGTCCTTGTCTCTTTGTGTTTTTGTTGTTGTTATTTTGTGTGTGTGTGTGTGTGTGTGTGCGTGTGCGCGTGTGCGTGTGCGTGTGTGTGTGTGTGAACTATTTAAATTTTGGACACCAGGAACTTAACAATTGCACATTTTTAGGTTCCCTTTCTGATACCGGTTCCAATTTTATAGAACTAAATAAAATTGGCATCCGCATTCGTTTCAATGTATATTGTATTTAGTATAATCATATTACTTTTGCAAATACAGTCAAAACCTTCTGATAACGAAACTGGACCAAAGAGGTCTTAATTGCGGGATGGTCATATTTGTAGATATTATTATTTTTATTTATCTATTACATGCTTTTCGATGGTTTATAGAAATATATCAGTGAAATAAAAACTGGTAATGTCACTGTTTTAAACAGTGAAATTATCAATTTGATAATTTCACTGTTTTGAATATTTAAGCCCGTTACGTTGTTTTCAGTGAAATACAAGTGTTCACAGTACTGGAAACCAACTTAATGACGTGACGTCGTAAATGACGTCACGTTGTATTATTATTTGTCGCCCTTTTCATTTAGTACTAGGTTAAAATGTCTTTTTAAACGTTTCTTTGCATATAATAAAAAGAAAATTTGTTTAGTTTTATGTAAGATCGAAATATATTTCACCGAGTGAGCCCCAAAAGGTATATTTCACGAGTGGCGCAGCATACACAATAAGCAGACAAAAATGAAAAAAAAAACAAAAAAAAAAAACAATTGTTATATTACTTAGGAGACGATTTCTTACACTCTTCTTTCTTGAAGTTATTTTTCAAAATGTCAAGATATTTTTACTTGAATATTCTAAAAAAATTAAAATTGACGTTCTAGTGAAATCAATGAGAATTTTGCATTTGATGATGCGGTTAATACATTAAAATGCTAGTAAGATAGAGTTTTGTTATTGATAACAATGGTCAACATTGACTTTACATTGCCACAACACTTTTAAATATACTCATAGTTCTTTCTTTACAGTTTTTAATAAACGTTATGCAAATTGTTTTTGAATGTACCACGTGACCTGACCGTCAAATTGAATTTCATGTATTGGAATATTTCAGTTTCCAATTTAACTGTTTGGATAGTTAAGTGAGTTCAATCCATTCCATTTACTGACAATGTAAAATGTTCAATTTTATCCGGATGATATCGATACAGAACATTGTACACATTTTGCCAAAACGAATCCTGCAGACATTTCATTACAATACAATATGAATTCTAAAGTCACATTTTAACTGCCTTATTAAAACTTTAAATGAAAATAAAGATTATATATGTAGCGTAAAAATCTGCGGGATCTTCACATAGTTTGAAGACTTGGAAACAAAATATTCATGTATGAGGCACTATATAACAGGTCACATTTGCAATCAGCAACGTATCTATGGAGTGAGTCATTCTATTTGTGATTCGACAAGGCATGTTCAAAGTCTTTTTTCTTGATCAGCTATCGCAAGATAAGTTTCTTTAGGTTACTTAACAAAATACTACAAACTTTGATTATATCTTTTTTAGCATCTTAACGGAATTTCATTTCTACTTTTTTCAAACTGTAGTGTGTATTCTTCCAATGAAACCAGGTGATTCCACTACTACCTATTTTGCCAGGCTGGTTATAATACTTTCCGTTTAGGTTGGAATGATGGCAACTCTTATACCACCACGCACCATGCCAATTTTCCGCACAATTTGACGACGATTCATCTTGATCTCTGTCATACGTTGAGAACATCGCTCCATTATGATACTCAAGAGAATCTCCAGCAGTTCCACTGTATCCAGTCACCTCCAGTTTGTAATTGTCTTCTTCCGGATATATCTTGAACTTACTGTACTTAGCATATGCACTGTTTCCCTCAAAATCTTCAATCTCTATTTGAAGTTCGTGTTCTCCATCTGATGTCAGTAGACTCAAATGATTATTGCCAAGCCAGAACTCACCATTCAGATCACCAAAGCCGTTTCTATACTCAGTCCAGTTTCGATAAAAATCTGTTTTACCATTCAGTCTTCTTTGAAATACCATCCAGCCCCCACCGTCTGTTGTTTGGTCACAGTAAACTTCAAAACCTTGTCGTAATTTGTTTACTCCATTGACTGCTGTAAACGAACGACAGGTGGTAGGATATAAAAAATCTTCCATACGCGAATATAAATTAGTTATGAGAAGTTCAATGTTTTCAATTTGCTTGGAATTTTGCTGAACCTTTTCATCAATATTTTTCAACACTTTCCGGTCATTTTCAGATGTTATAATAGCGTCTTCTGATACATGTTTGACCGCTTCAAAGCTGATTAACAATTGATCAGTATTATTTATAGCGACTTTGCAATAGTTTTTAACATCTTTGTTATAGTTTTTTACATCTTTGTTGAGGGATATCAGATTGTTTTCAATCTTTGGAATTTCCCGTCGAAACCTTACAGACTCAGATTTTTCTTCGGTGAAGGCTACCCTAAGTCTCGTAAAATCCTCTTTCAATGTATCCACTGTTTCAAAATCAATCTCACCAGCTTTTGTCGCCAATGAAGGAATGGGCTGTTGTTTTCCAATGGTCGCATTTAACACTTTATCGATGCCATTCAGTCGCACTGTTATTTCAGCAATATCTTCGTCTCTGAGTGTAAATTCGAAGTTAAGTCTAGTTTCTAAATGTTTGACAATTGACTTTAATCGATCAAGTTCCTTTGTTGAACTTGTCAAACCAATGACATATACCATGAGAAGAAAAACTTTTACTTTGCCAAATAACTGCATATTCCTATTTGTTTTCAACCGTTCTTAAAGCTAGTACACACGATTCGTCTTGATATGATCTATGATTATTTTCTAAACAACTTGAAACAATCCCACTTCTTTATTAATAAGAATAAATTTTATGTTGATACCGTTTGTTCAATATTCATTGGAATAATGATGATAAATGTTATCGTCATACATTCTTTATATTCCTAAATCTAAAGAGCCTTTATTGTTGTTTTTATGTGTGTTTCATTTTCAATTATGTCAAGTGGGCACTTTATTGCTCTTAATGCCAAATTGGGTGTTGGCTTTTTTGTCTCTCAAAAGAAAAACTACTCTTTATTCGAACATTATATTACATTACATTATATGTCTTACGTTTTAAGGAGAGGTACTTATTGTAAGTGGTACAATTATATCACTTTCGCTGATCTTATAATAACTAAATTACACAAAGTAAAATGTTTTAAAATTTGAAGTCATTAAAGCAAAACCTAACAAGTATAATTATGTTTTTTTTTTGTTTTACATAATATCGCTTATTTTTAATGTAATTTATAACCTTTGTCTATCACTTTATAATAAATATAAATGACCAAAAAAAGCAGTAATTTTCCACATTTTCCATAAAAAAAATTCAGAAATTTAAATAGCTCCAGAAGACTGATTTCTGGATTTCTCAGTAATTTCTCAGGAAATGCATATTTAAAAACTCCATTCCATGAAAACCACATGCATGGTTCAAAACATAATAAAGCAACAGTACATAGGACCTCTAGCTGTTTTTCAAGCAGCACGCCTCTAATTTCATGTTGATTTTCATTAAAAATATGAAAATGTATAAAATTTTACTATTTTTAAGTATTAAAAGAAAGTAATATAAACATTTCAATCCAAATAAATTTTTTAAAAATGCCAAAAAGGACGAAAAGAAGAAGAAGAAGAAGAAGAAGAAAGAGAAAAGAAGAAGAACACCTTACATTAGTCACGCATTAGAAATATGGTGATAAATACTATAAGTATCTTACAACCGGCTACCAGTACATACAGAGATACAGAGCTCAAGGGTAATTGTGTACGGTGGTAACTAGGCTCTACCGAGTTTGCGCTAAACAGTTACTGTCTGTGACGACAGCTGGTGTTTGATTATTTTCCTTTCATATTACAAATCAGTGATATTTCAAACAGACACTACGAAAACTAATATTTTTATTAAGTACTTTGTTATAGGAGCGTATGATTTTTTTTACTTCATTCATTAATTTTAGAAATTTTATCTGGCATCGAGGGTGCCAAATTATAGTTGCGTGCTATACAACGGCATGCTAAGGATGACGTAATTTTGCCGTTATGAATGAATGTGTAATGAAAGAATGTTGTTACTGGTGTAATGACCTAAATTTCCATGAAAATTGTTTTATTATGATAAAGAATTTAAAATATAATGGAATATAGTAAAATATGCAAGAAAATGGGCCGTTCTCCTCGGAACGGATATTCCAATCTGAACCGCCGCATATGACTGATGTTATTAGTCTTACATGGGGGTGTTAGACAGGTTTTTCTAGCACCGGTGTAAACAGTAGATAATCCTGTCTGATATGCAAGAATGCAAAGTTTTTAGCTTAAATTATTACTTGAATTGTAAAAAAATTGTGCTTTTTTTTCAAAATCTTAGTAGTTCATTTTTCTCTAGGTTTATTTCCTTGAAATTTTGGGCTTATGTGGAGGCATGCAATTTTAGAGTCTCATCCGAAAAACTTGTTAATAAACAAACTTGGAGAACTTGGTGATAGAACTGGTGACCCCCTCTGTGCTCGCTCTTGTAAACTATTATGCTTAAGGCCATAGTAATGTAGCTTCTATCGTCCGTATTAAGGTTATATTAATTTGTAAAGTCAAGATTATGCTTGTTTTATCTATTTAGCCAAGAACATGTCACATAATGTATTATACCATGACTTCATATTAAAGTACCATGTCTTGTAACTAGGTAAAAGCGTTCTCATTTAAATTTAAGTGGGTATCCGTACGCTATATCAGAACAAATCGGTTTGGTTTAGTATAATTGAAATCATGACCGTGTCCGTATGTTTCATTTCATATTGCTTTCATACTGTCTGTTTTAATACATTGTCAGAAATGACAGAATTCTACGGTGGCACAAAGGAAACATGTGTGTTTTTTTATTTATCTCGTGTGCACATGACACTATGTCGTGGGCACGAGCTACTAAGTCGTGGCCACAAGATAATTAAGTCGTGCGCACGAAATACTATGTAGATCTCAGTATTTTAAAAGATTAATGTTCATGTAAAATTTTAAACAGGAACTTTCTAAATAATTATCTTGTGACCACGACTTAGTAGCTCGTGGCCAGAACAAAGTTTCTCGTTCCCACGACTTAATTATCTCGTGTCCACGGCATAAAATCTCGTGGCCACGACTTAGTAACTCGTGGCCACGCCATATCTCGTTCCCACGACTTAATTATCTCGTGGCTATGACTTAGTAACTCGTTGCCACGACATAGCATTTCGTTCCCACGACTTAAAGATCCTGTAACACATTTTTTTCATGGTTTTATTTCATAAATATGATGCTCAAATTAAGATTTGTTAATATTGTAAGTTCCAATAAGCATTATTTGTATAGATATAACTGAATTTAACATTTCATGTAAATAAAGGGAGGGATTTAGAAATTTATTTTCTTTTAATTCTAAGTCAAATTTTCCAATAAAAAATGAATGCATATAATTGATAGATTAAATATAATGTGCACAAATATTTGCAGTACACATTTTACATGTTCTTGATGTTTGAAAATTGTTGTATTTGCATAATTATATACATATTTTTTTTTCAAGTGTGAACATACAGGATCTTTAATTATCTCGTGCCCAGATCATTTTGAAGAAAATAACTATACGTCTTTTACATTTCTAGAGGTGTGTCACTTTGAATAAATGTGATAAAACTATATCCGTAACCATAACTATTATTATAGCAATAGTTACACGTTTAATTTTATTTCATGTTGTCAAACCTTAAAAAAACCCTGACTTTTAAAAGAGCACCTTTCATTGACTGTGGAAGCTATTTTGTAGGCCGGTTTGAATCTACATGTGTACTGCCTAAAATGAAGGGTTTAAAATGTATGCTTTTATAATAAAGATTGAATGATGATAAAGTTATAATCAGCCACGAAGTAGTTGTTGGTTACATTTATGTAGCACTGTCAGTTTTATTATAATAATGATTATTATTATTGTTAATAGAATAATAGCAACACTAATGATAGGCTGATAATGATGTGGGTAGGTAAAAATATTTCTTTTGAAAGTATTTTTGTATTTTCTGATCTGCGATCAGAAAATACAATGCTGACATTCAATCTCTAGCACAGCGCTTCCAGACAAACCTAACAACAACTAGTTCTCAAAACAGCTTAAAACTAGCGATGTAAAAGAAAGAAGTATTTTTTTTTTACATTATATTTAGACTTTTTGAAAAATAAAGTAAGGATGTTTTGTTGACTCTAGGACAGGGACGAATAAAGGGGAGTCGACGATCGATAATCAATTTCTTCAACCGATAATTAAATCCAAATCAAATGCTATTCTTAGAGATGTCGATAACCGGAAGACACTTCAGAGCGTATTTACACAAATAAATCTAACTGTCGAGTAGTGAAATATATACATTTCGGACTGTTTAGGCGAGAAGATTTCCGCTAAATTATTTACATCAGTGTTAAACAACAGGCTTACCTAGAAATTAATAATGATTACAAACCCTAAATGAAAATTCTAAATTTAGAATTATTTTATTTTATTCAGGCTTTTTTCGTATAACTTCCCCATGGTGCAGGTATAAGGCGCTCGTTTAGGGTGTGAGATGTCTTGGGTTCGAATCCCAGTCGCGGCAACTATTTTTTATATATTTTTAAGTGTCTTTTTAAGAAAGTAGCAACGAAATGCAATTATAAAGTGTGGCTGTCATAAGAAAATGAACATAAATGATTTTTGATGCATCTCTAGTCATGCAAAATTTCGTATGTATCAAACATCAAAGTAAAAATCTGAGTCCAGTCGCTGCATCTCGGTGCCCTGCAAGATGAATTAAAGTATATAAAAAATAAAACTTATACAGAGCTTGCAGCCCTTTGATTTATTTATATAACTGAATTATATGATGTCAAAAACATGCTTATCGTCTATATAAAGTTTTAAAGTTTTATTCAATATACACGATTTTTACCAGTTTGTATATTTAGATTAAGAAAAGAGACAAAGATATTATTCACATTGACATACTCTGCTGCCATGTTATGTAAAAAAGACAACTTTTTTCATTCAACTGACAATATCTTTTTAGAGTAGGGGTGGAGGGGGGGGGGGGGTATGGACTCATGCTTTTTGAGGTTAGGTACAGGGACGGAAACAAACAATTCTCTATCAAAGCACCAGCAATATAAGTATTGTTAAATTATGTTTTTGTGCTGCATTAGAAACATATTTCTTACTGGGCATACAACCCTACTGAATAAAACCAAAGCACAGAAGGTGCTGAATTTGTTTGGGTCTCAGAATGTAAGAAAGGTACAGGTTGTGAGATTATATGTATAGTGCCATCAATGCTTTCCAGCGTTTTAATTGTAGTAAATTGGCTATAAGACTAATTGCAACACTGATATTCAAGGCCACGGTGAATTTATATGTGAACCATATTATTCTAAATTAGGGCTTGTAACAACTTTAACTGTTGTTTAACACAGATGTAAATAATCATGGAGCTTACTATAAGCATGTATCTATAAAGAATTAAAGGGCTGCAAGCTCTGTGGTATTTTCTGATCTTTGCAACCTAAATCGTACTGTTTATCTGTATGTATTTTCCTGTATAAGTTTATTTTTATGTACTATAATTCATCTTGCAAGGCACAAGGGCTGCGTTTCATGGAGAGTCCTAAATCCTAGGACTTATGACCAACTTTAGGAGAAAAAGTTTTTGAACTTAAGACCGTTTCAAGTAACTGTCCTATCTTTTGCCTGAAACTTAAGACTTATGACCAATTCGCTCTCCTGAAAAAAGTTACAAAATACAATGGCACGCGCATAATCCCGGATTGGATTTACTAATTAATTGATTATAGCAAGTATAAAAAGCAATGTATTGCCCTCTTATCATGTTGAGTGAAAATATATACCATATTTCACGAAAA